TATTATTTTTTCTGCTGTTTGGTTTTTTATTCCTTCGTTGGGTTCTGTCTTTGTATTATAGTTAGTCCTTATCCTTTTTATTTTTTCTTTTTCGGCGAAATGAAGTAATTTTTCCAAAAAGGCCGAGTATTTATTATTATAATTTTCTTCTTTATCTCTCTTTCTAGTTATATTTCTCCGGGTTTTGGGAAAAAAATGACCTTTGTTTTTTTCTCTCATTACACAATCATAATGATTAGGGTTTCACACTCGCGAGGAAATGTTGCTTCTATGAATTTCCATCTCAATAAAATCACCGCATTTATCGCCCCCCACAAAATTCTCAAAAGGGGCAAAACAATATTTTTCCATAAAATTCCGAATAGTTTCGGGATTGATTTCCGTTTTTTCCACTAAATTCTTTCACTAACATTCAAAACAAAACTTAGCCGGCTTCTCGCTAACAATTTTTCGCCCACAATTTTTACAATTTTATTTCATTTTTGATGTTAAATACTATTTAATTATTTTTGTGGGGAATTTGGTTTGCTCCGCTAGTTTTTTTCCGCTTCCATAAAAATTTCTATCCTCAGATTGGGTTTTTTTCTTCTATTGTATTTTTATAGTTGACATATGATTTTGATAATATCATCGTATTTTTTTCGTCTCGTATTATAGAAAGAGCCTCGCTTTTTTACTTTTTCTTTATTTACTATCTGAGAAATGATTTAACTGGGTTATTGTGAAGATGAAAAAAAACGAAACTGAGAAATGAGTTTTTTTAAAATTTAGTTTGAGATTGGTAGGTGAAGGATAAAAAGAGTATAATTATAGTATTAAAAAGAGCAATGAGAAAAAAAAAAGTAATTAAGAGACACAACTTACAACCGGATTGAAAATTTGCCTCCTCTATTGTTGCCCAGTTGATTAATAAGGTAATGCGGGACGGGGAAAAAAGAAAAGCAAAGAAAATAGTTTATCAAGCTGTGCAAGTGACGGAAGAAAAAACTTCTTTGCCCCCTTTAACTGTTTTGGAGGGAGCCTTGGCGAACACTAAACCCAACTTGGAATTAAAAAGTTGAAAAATGGGCGGAATGAGGCGACAAATACCAGTTGAAATTAAGAGAGAAGAAAGGTCGTTGTCCTTGGCTTTACGTTGAATGGTAGAAAGTGCCCGCGAAAAAAAAGTCCCGCGACCATTTTTCCAACGTTTAGCCACAGAAATTATTGATGCTTATAACAAAAAGGGCGGGGCTTTTCAAAAGAAGGAAACCATCCAAAAAAAGGGTGAGGAAAATAAGGCTTTTGCTACTTTCTTAAACAGAGGACCAAAATAAATGATATTACAATTATCAGCATGGTTCCAAAAAAATAACTAATCTCAGTCTAGTTTAGACCCTAATGATTTAAGAAGGGTTATTAAATAAAGATGCTAACATTTAATTTTGACTTTGTAATATTTCTCGCCAATACCTCAATAAATCTAAACCATTAAATAAAAACTTCGGGCAACAAAACAATAAAACCAACCAAATCAATTATAAATAATTTGCGGTAATTATCCAGTATGATTTTCCTTTTTGCTTCGGGAGAGTAAAGCATATATAATGATTAAAATTAAACTGCCAACAATTCCACCCACTATCAAAATTGTTTTTAGAATATTTTTCTTTTCCCGAAGGATTATTATTGTTTGGACTATCTTCCTCTTCTATTTTTGTTATTTCCCTGAAATATTTTCTATCATGAGAAACAAAGTATCATAACTAAATGTTCCACCTCCACTTTCTGAGTAGCTGAGGAAACGCTAATTTTTAATTGCCGTGGTAAATTTTTTCCCCATGCCACTCGTTAATAGTTCTTGATATTTTTTTTGAAATTCTTTTTCTCGGCAGTTAAATCTAATTCGACGAATTGTTGGTAATCTTGCTAACGAAAGAGGCTTTATTTTAATTTCGGGAGGAATAAAAGTTTTTTTGCCGTGGTTCAGTTGAAAGGGGTGAAAAACCACCTCAAAAGTAATGTGAGAAAAACTAAGTTTGATTTCACCAAACTTTTTAAAAACCATTCCGTTGGGAGATTATTACGAGGAGAAACAAAACCACGCATGGTATTTTTAATCTGGTTAGTCAAATCCAAATTATCATCCGGAACGATTAATTTACTAACTTTTTGACCCGAAAATAAAATTGTTTCACTTAAAAGAAAAATAATGAATCTCTATTCTCCTTCTGTGTAATAACTTCTTCGAGTGTAAGAGTTGTTTTTGTAATCATTGTTCGGTTCAAAAAAAATAATTTCTCCATTCATTCTATTATAAACTATTTTTCTGGCGGAAGTGAGAGGATTCGAACCTCCGAATACGGATTAGATATTACTAGCTTTCCAAGCCAGCCCCTTCAACCACTCGGGCACACTTCCCTTACGGAAATATACTACTTTTTTTGGATTTGTTTTTCGTTTTTTTTCTGTGTAAAATTACTTAGTAATTATTGATAATTGAAAAAACAGAAATTAGTTAATAAAAAAGTAGTAATTTAATTTAAGCAAGCAAAAGAGCGGTCAGAAACCGAGAAAATCAAAATCGAAGATTATAATCTAGCGTATTTAATATCCAAATCCAGCAAGAAATGGTTGTTGATATCACTAAAAGGTTCGTAATTTGCTTAGTTTAGACATTTTCCGAACTCTTGTCTGGGAAAGTCAAAATTGAAAAAAGGTAAACGATTGTAATAAATTAATAATTTTTCTTGTTTCCTCGGGATAAAATTTAGTTTTATTATAACGCCCATAACTAATCCCAGTCTAGTTTAGACCCTAATGATTTAAGAGGGGTTATTAAATAAAGATGCTAACATTTAGTTTTGACATTGTAATAAAAACTGTTTATTCGCGAAAAATTGTTTCTTTAAATTGGTAATTTCCACTCAACAACAATCTGATTAAAAAGTTAAGAAAAATCTCTCTCTTTAAATTTTTTTTTTGCAAACTTTTTCACTCATAAAATTTCCTCATCCCCCCTCGTTCCCGATTTTTTTCCTAAGCAGTTATTAAACAAGTAAAACCCGTTCTTTGTTTAATTTTGTATGGTTAATTACTCCGATTTTGGTTTAACTTTTCCCAAAATACTGACTAGTCTCCGCACTTGCCAAACAAGGTAATAACACAAGGTATTAATTAATACTTCTTTGTTAGGCAAATTGGCTCATTTTTCTAGGAGAGTATCAGCAATTAAATTTTGCTGATAAATCCCACCGCGAAATCTTTTAGTGGGCGGATTTTTTTTATTAAATCGAGCCAGAATACCCAATGGCTTATATTCGTCTTCGTGACAAAAAATAAAGGCATTAGCTTGCGACAACGACAAGGAAAAATCTGGTAAGGCTTTTTGCACCAAATTATTTTTATAAACTTTTCAATGACTGGCGGCAGCTTTTAGTTCTTTTTTGAGTTGCCAAATTTCTTCGTTCTCCGCGTGGTGAAAATCATAGAAAATAATGGCTTTGGCTTTTTGGAAGTTCTTTTGGATATCCTGGATAATTAGTTCTTTCTTATTGTAGTTCCTCATGTATTAATAATTATTTTTTCTTTGCTTGTTTTGTAATAATTTTACAATCTTATTTCTTTTTAAAAAAAGTTTCACCATTCCAACCGCCAAATAAACCAAAATTTCAATAATCATAATTGATAATGTTGTCTTCATTTTATTATTTTTAATTCGTTCTTTAATCCTTTCTTGCCCGGTTTTTTTTCCCGAGTTAGGATTTTTTTAGTGTTAGTATTTTGGCATAATTGTTTATTTCTTTTCTGAATAGGGAAAAAATTAAATAGACAAGGTAAATCAAATTATATGTTTTATTATTTTTGAAAAAAGAGAATTTTAAGCAAATTTGCTGCTCGCCAAAAAAAAATAATATCTTGGGAAAAGGAAATTAGTTCGTTATCCGACTCCGAAATTCAAACTAGATTTAATTCTTGACGGGAAAAAATTCAGAGCAGTAAAAAAGGCGAGCGAGAAAAATTGCTAGACAAATGTTTGGTGCCAATTTTCGCTCTCGTCCGGGAAGCCATCCGTCGCCAAATTGGGTTGTTACTTTTCCCAACCCAAATTTTTGGCGGTCTGGTTCTCCACGAGGGAAACATCGCTCAAATGAATACGGGAGAAGGCAAAACTTTAACTGCTCTTCTGCCTATCTGCCTTAATGCTTTGACCGGAAAATCGGTTTTTGTGGTGACCGTTAACGAGTATTTAGCTCAACGAGATTGACAGTTAGCCCAACCGGTTTTAGACTTTTTCAACATTATCTCCGGAGTAAATTTACGCGATTATTCCAGCCAAGAGAAAAAAAATTTGTATCATAATTGCACGGTTATTTACACGACCAGCAGTGAGTTAGGTTTTGATTATTTACGGAATAACTTGGCAATCAGTAGTGAGGAAAAGAGGAAGCAAAATTATTATTATGCCATTATCGACGAAGTTGATTCAATTTTAATTGACGAAGCCCAAAATCCCCTCATTATTTCTCACCAAATCCGCGGAAAAGGAAAAATTCATCCCATCGAATACCAGTTAACCACGAAGATAGTCAGTCTCCTTAACGAGAAAAAAGATTATCTTGTCGACCAAAAAGAGAAAAAACTCTGATTAACCCCTACCGGAATTAAGAAAAGTGAAAAATATTTACAAATTAACAATCTTTTTTCTTTTGCTAATCAACGTTATAGTTTCTTGCTTCATAATGCCCTAAAAGCCCTTCATTTTTACCACCGCGAAGTTGATTATGTGGTGGTCGCGGACAAAATAATTTTGATTGATAGTCTGACCGGTCGTCTTGTCCCGAATCGGGTTTATAGTGCGGGGATACAACAAGCTATTGAAAGTAAAGAAAATTTACCAGTCAGTTCCCAGAGTAAAACCATTGCTACTATTACTTACCAAAATTTTTTCCGTCTTTTTACTAAATTGTCAGGTATGACTGGCACGGCTCAAAGCGAAGCCAAAGAGTTTCGGGAGGTTTACGGCATGGAAGTCATTGCCGTTCCTCCTTATCGTAAGTTAATTCGAAAAGACCACGATGCCTTAATTTTCCTTAATAGAGAAAGAAAATATAAAGCTATTATCCAAAAAATTAAAAAAAATGTGCAAACCACCGGACGACCAATTTTAGTAATTTGTCCGAGTGTTGATGTTTCGGAACAAATATCGAATTTACTAAGCCAAGAAAGAATTTTCCACAACAAATTAAATGCGGTGAATCATGAGGAGGAGGCTAAAATTATCTCTGCGGCGGGAAAAATAGGTGCTGTAACCGTCGCCACTAATATGGCAGGACGAGGCACCGATATTAGTTTGGACGAAGCCAGTCGTCGAGCTGGCGGTTTATTAGTCATAATTGCGGAAATGAATTCCATTCTCCGCATTGATAATCAAGCCCGCGGTCGATCCGGACGACAAGGCGACCCCGGCGAAACTCAACCTTATATTTCTTTGGAAGATGATTTATTGAAAAATTTTGACCTCCAAAACAAACTCGGCGGTTTTGTGGGCCAGCGGCAATTAAAAACGGTATTTCAACAACCATTAAGCGGAAAATTATTCAATTATCTTATCTCAGAACCCCAGGAAACTCTTCGTAATATACACTCGGCTAGTCGCCAACGAACTCTTAATTACGATTTACTAATCAATCGGCAAAGAAAAATTGTTTATGATTATCGAGAAAAGTTATTAACCAGTTCTCAGCCCGAAAAAATTGTTTCCCCGAGAGGGAAAGTTGATTTTGGGGAAAATAAAGAACGTCTTCGCTCGCTTTTTCTTCACCAGGTAGATGATTTTTGGTCGGAATATTTAGAGTGTCTAAATAAAATTGGTGAACTAGTTCAAGTAAGAATTTGGTTACCCCAAGAACCCCAAGAGGCTTTTTTTTGAGAAACTATGACTTTATTTCATCGCGGATTTCAGAAATTGCAGAAAGATTTAGAAAAAATAATTGCCTAATTTAAAAAAATTCTAAAAACCTTTAATTTATATTAATAACATATTTGAGGCAAATCCCGCACCGTTTTAACTAGTTTAAACTTAAAAAACAAACGGTCAATAATCGCAATTAATAATACGCCTTGTTATTCTTAGTCCATTCTCGCCCATTTTTTTCTTTTCTCATTTATCGTTTTCTTTTTTTCTTGCCAATCATTGATTTATTACTTTTGCTGGCCACTTGATCGATTTCAAATATTACTTCCCGACCACGAAAATTAAATTCAAGTTTATTATTTTTCTTGGCTTTTTTATTTTCCTTTTTGCGGGTTGAGATAAATTTTGAGTTTGATACGAAAGAAAGTGGGATAAGGAGGATAAGGAAAAAAATGAAACAAATAATATTCTTGAACCAGCAAAAGAAAACCCCCCCAACCCCGAAGAAAAAAAACCTTATTGGAGTGGATTAAGAGAAATAATATTGTTTTGAATAATTTTAAAAGATTGAAAATTTACCAAAACACTCAATTCTCGGCAGCAGGAACGAGGAAATGTTATACCATTAAAGTCTAAACTTTTCCTTACAACCGCTTGACCGGGAATTCAGTTTTGGGATGAAAGAAAACAATAAAATTTATCAACACATATATCACTATTCACCTCGAAACACTTCCTATTTTATGTTCTGGCGGTTCTGACGAGACTCGAACTCGCGATCTCCTCCGTGACAGGGAGGCGTGTTAACCGCTACACTACAGAACCAACTCTTTGGTACCCAAAGTCGGATTCGAACCGACACCTGATGGATCTTAAGTCCACTGCGTCTACCAATTGCGCGATTTGGGCAATATTTCTGCTTTTCTTATAATAGATTAATTTTATTAAACAAAATTGTTCTAAACCCTTTTGCCAACCAGGTTAGTAAAACCTAAAAATAGACGACTGAATAATTGCGTCCCTCTAACTTTTGAACCTGAGGAAATGGCCAAAGAGAGACCATTTGTTGTTTAATCGTCAAGAATGAAAAAAATAGTTTAGACCAGGACAGCAAAATTTTACTGAATAGAGTTCAAATTATCGATACAAAAATACGTTTGCGGAGCCATATTGGAGGCAACCAATCCCAAAATAATAAAACAAGTCCGGGAAGTTTTAAAAGTAGTTTTTGGTGTGAGTTAAAAAATTAGTTTTTAATCTTGCCGAGAAAAAATAATCCTATTTTTTTGTTTTCTTTCCGTTTGCTTGTTTTTCTAATTCAGCGACTTTCTTTTCTTATAATTCGATTGCTCACCTTTCTTTGCCATTAATTTTTTCTATTCCCCCAAACTTCTTTTTTTATCTTCATTTTTCAATTTTCTATTGTCAAAAAATATCCCGGGGCAAGAGGAAAAAAAATTATTAAAACACCAAACAGCAGGACTCAATTTTAAGTGGGTTCGTAGTTTTATTCTCGCTCTTCTAAAACCCTATTCCAATTTATAATCTAAAAACTTTTGACATAAACTATATTTATTTTTTAAAAAAACAAAGAATGATGAGCGAAGCGAATTAACGAAGAAAACAACAAAGCAAATGAACTATACTAATTACCAATCCCAAAATAGTCACCCAAGTTATAATTTCATCCTTGTTTTGTAAGACCGCACTTCTAATCTTCTTTATTCGGGT